GAATGGGGAATGGGCCATTCCCCACTCATACCAGTTAGGGATTTAAACTGAAAAATGGGTGTAAATCAGTAAAAACTGAATGACTTAAAAAAATCAGGGAATTTATCAGTGAAAATCAGTAAAAACTGAGAATGCGGAACACTATATATGACATAAAAAGGCTTTTCTTTAAGAAAAAAGTTTGAAATCTGCAGAAAAGGATGATACTTGCCAAGATGGTTTCTACTTTCTTATTTCCCCCTTGTCTGTAAGTGGACAAGTATACTTGTACAGGCTTCACAAGATGGTGTTCACAACATACCCTGGGAAGGTATGACACATGAGAGCATAGAAGAGCTCTAGAATCAGTGACTATTGGAAACCTGAGGACTGTTTGGTGTTTATTAAAATGAAATATATTGGCAGATGTCAAGACTGGGGTCCAGTTTTGCTCCCATTCAAGCTATACCCATTTATATCAATGGAAGCAAAATACAGGACTGCCCACTATGCCTAAATATATTGTCCATGCCTCAGGATAAGTCCTTTCCAAATGAATTTCAGGTTAGGTACAAACCAGCAAAATTCTAACATCAGTAATGTTGCATCTATTTACAACATGGTAAAATATGGTCTTTACTCAGTAAGAAAAGTGTAAGAAACCTATTTTTTTAATTTTAATCTTGTAATAAAAAAGTTCAGATTCAAATATGCATGACCTATTCTGATTTACAGTAAATGAAGTGGCACTAATTACATAGTAGCTGCTAAACTGCTATGCTCTTGTGATGGTTGTAATGACACATTTCAGGAACCAAGAGGACAAGCTGTCTAATGACATCTGTGATGAAAACATCACTGAATTCATACAATAAAACACTATAATTATACCAAAAAATCTACTGGTTTGTTTAGTTACTTGTAAACTACAAGTAAGATGTATCATCAATTGAAGTTATAAACTTGCTGGTAATTACTATGTTTTTAACATTCATGATTTGGGAAAGTTTATTGGATGTCTTACAGTAAACTTAGTAACATATCCAAGGTACTTTGATTTTTCACATAACTTTCAATCAGATTAAAAGGCCTGCCTATTCTGTAGACACAACTTTGGTATCTTGAGGTCTGCACTTGAACAAAGAGCAAAGATCATCTCTGCAGATTTTTTAGTTCTATCATGTTCATATTCTATAGATATATCAGTTCTAGTCTGATCATGCAGCAGGAGGTATAGACTAGTGAAAAGATCACAGGACTGAGGCTAAGGAGACTTGAGTTTTACTCACAGCTCTTCCAACAGTTTCCTGGGTGACCATAGGTAATTTATTTAATCTCTCTCAGTCTAATCTTCCACACATGGAGAATGGACTAATGACACTGGAATCCTTTGTAAAAAGACCTAATGGTAAATAGTGGTGAACAAGAAATAGAAACTAGTGCTATTATTTTTATAATTATATCTTATAGAATTGGCGCAGCTACGGTTCTGGAATGGTGCTGGATTGGCAAGTCTTTTAATTTACCAGAAGGCCCAGAGGGCACCACGAGGTAATTGTTCCCTGACACCAAATATTGCAGGTATCAAAAAAATTGTATTCTGTTGACCTCCCCTTTAATGTGAAGCTTGGGCTCCAGGGCCATCAATATTCCAAGGGCAATTAGATCTACTAAATCTATTTGCAGTGGAACTAATACTTATGCATAGGAGAAATTTTACGCAAGTGACCATTTTTATACAGTTAAATGTGAGTAGTCATCTACATATGTGCCTGAAGGATCAGGGTATTAGAATGGTTTGATATGAGTAGTTTACAATTAAAAGATTTTTAAAGTGTCAAAGTAAAATTCTAAAACTTTTTTTATTTCATCAAATAAACAGATTTGGCAATGTAACACTTTTCTTCTATTTATTGGCAGGTAACAGCACATTGCATAGTCCTTGGTATCTTCTTTTTCAGCCTCAACCCAATATAATCAACCTCAGGGAATTCACAGCTTTATATTACCTCTTTTCTTCTTACTGTTTTGGCCAAGGGGCTATAACCAGATATATTGGTTTGACATAGTAAGGATTACCCAGGGTAATATACTTAACTGGTATATTAATGATGTGCAGTTGAGCCTAGAGATAATAAAATCAGATGTACTTATCTAAAAATATGGCCGCTTCCAGATGAGCGTGGCTGTGCAGTATGTGGCGCTGCAGACACGTCTGTGGCACCACATACTGCACAATCAGCTGTTCTCTGTGCTGCATGTGATATCCCTGTGATATCCAGGGGTCAAAAAAAACCATACAAACAAATAAGTGGAGTGGTGCCTGTGGGGGCAGCATGCACCGCTCAAAAAGCCAGAGCTTGGCTGGCCAGAGCCACACTCCAGCTGCCAGCCAGGCTCCAAGCAGCAGGATCATTGCTGCTGCAGCCCCAGGAGGACCCCAGTACCCCAGGTAAGCACAGTACTGGCCCCAGTCTTCTCTACCTCACCTGGGGCAATCTGCCGCATGCCAGAGGGCGCATGGCACAGGCATTCCCCGGGAACAACCAACTAGCAGTGGTACAAGGTGGGCTGCTGCTAGTTGTCCATGGGTAACCAAACAGCTGCACTCATAGGACACAGCCTAAGGATGCAAACGATTGGGACTACTTTCCTCAGAAGGCATCACTTGCAGCAATATATGTTGCAAGTGCTGCTTAGATCATTCTGGCTTCTCTGAGGCATATATTCTTAGAAGTGTTTCCTCTTAATCCTATTTGGGATGCAGTGAGGTGACAGGAATTGTCCTACATGCATACATTCTTCTATTAACCATCCCCACAAGCAAACACATGCAATCGGATTTCACCAGTCTTACCCATAATGAGCAGTATTTTTCACTTTGTGGCCAGATTCAGACATGAAGGCACATGCAGTGTGTGGTCCTGCAAACCTCTTTGTGGTGCCACAAACCACATGCCCAGCACATTAAAACATGCCCCATGAAGCAAATTTGCAGGAACTCCTGATAGCAAAAAAAAAATGGCGAAGAAAAAAGTGGTGCAGTGCATGCGAGAGGAGCATATGCCAGCAGACACAGAGGCTGGGTCTGCCTAGGAGATGCTCTGGCTGCTGGCCAGAGCATCTCCACTGCTTTAGTTGTCCCCAACTCCACCAGCATGGCAGAAGCCAGTAGGAGCAGGGAAATGCCAGTTTCCCCAAAGTGAGGCAATTTTGCCCCACACCAAACTGCACATGCAGGGGTGTGCACTACAGCAAAAAGTAGTGGCACAAATTTGTGCTGCTACTATTTTTGCGGCAGCAAACGCACACCCCTGCATGTGAGGACATGCCCCATGTATCATGATTTAACAGTGAAGTTTTTCAGGGTGCTAGATACTACTCAAAAATAAGTAAAAGCACAGAATCTAGATTATATATTGTAAGGAAGGTAGAAAGTTGTAGGGAGCTGGGGACAGCCAGAAGTGAAACCAGTCTTTAAAAACTGTTGTGAGCTTAGAGGAATCTTGCTGAACCTTCTGCAAATGTGACTTCTCATTGCAAATGACTTGGGAATTTTAGGCCTGACTTTTAAAGATATTTAGACCTTTAGGGTGCTTGTACATGAGTGCAGAGGCTACTCCAACACACTGTAATTACAGCATACTGAGTCTGCTGTAGTATGGTAATTACCAGGGAATCTGGTTTTCTCTGATAAAATCCCTAATTTTGGGGTTTAAAAAAGTAACCCAAAATACACATTTTTCTGTTATCAAAATGAAACACCACTATATACAATATATCTCTATATTAGTGGTGTTTCATTTTAAGAATATGGACTTTGGTTTACTTTTTTAAATCCAAAAATTGGGGATTTTGTTTTATCAGAGAAAACCAGGATCCCTGGTAAATACCATGCTCCAGCAGCCTCCTGTGTCCTGTGTATTAGCATCCTTATGCTTCAAAATGGTGGCAGGGGGCACTTGAACTAAAACGTGTTGAATCAGCTTTAGATCAAGCGCCTCGCCTCCACCCCCATTTTGAAATGAAGGGATACTGATACATAAAACACTGCTGCTCTAATTAAAGCGCTGACCCCCCACCCCCCCGCCACAGACACACACACCCTTCAGAGCACATGTAAAAGTGCCCTTTAAGTAAGTGGCAGATAGGTGCCCAATAAGACTAAGAACTGCACTAGATCTTTAGGTACGCATTACTTTTAAAAATCTGATCCCTTGTTATTTATTATTTTTGTTTCATCACTGTGAAAAGCTGAAAAGGATTCAAAGTTTAAGCATCATTTGCTTATCACCATATGCAGATATTTTCCCCCAAAATCAGCCTATAGCAAAATTTTAAACCAAATGGTTAAAATTTGACGATGTTATAATCAACCAGAAAAAGGATGTTTTAAAAGAAAGTGTCAAGCAATCTTGGATTTAAGATTGCTAGCTGTGTCCCTTTTAATATACTACATGTTTGCTCAGAGATGATCTGTGTAATTGCTGTGCACCTAACTGGTTTCCCCCAAACTGTGTGGACCTATGAACCAGTAAGACATCTGAGTTCGGGTTATTGACTATGTCTTTTTATATTTTTAGATGCCAGTGCCATCCAGCAGAGTCCATTTAAATAATGTACTGTAAGTCATTTTTAATGTGCCAACTGCTGTTTTAGAAGTTTAGTCTGAAGAACAAATAGAATGAGCCATTATCTATTCTTCAATTAATTATAAACAGTCATTGTATTTGTGTATTGGTAATAAAAAACTTTCACCTTCTTAAAGGAAAACATTGTTTTAAAAGTCATTTAAGCCACAGGGTCCCAGACTATGTAAAACAATACATTAAGATTTTATCACTCAAAAGAAAAATGAACATAGATGGTTCTATCAGGAAGTGTAGCAGTCATATAAGACTATACTGACTGCACTTAGTATCTTCCTTGCTAGACATGCACTATCTTTCATCTGTTTGTCCTACCCATTTTATAAACATTTTAAAATGGATACTAAAATGGATTTTACCAGTTAGACAGACCTATCTCATTAAAGCCACTGTAGCCCAGCTCTTGCCTGCTTAGTCCCAGATCTTCAAGGTCCATGCATTTAAATCCAGGTGGGCACTGGTAACCCTCTTCTGATTCTCTGGAGCAGTGGGTGTCTGGGATTGCTAAATTATTCCAGGTTACATTTCTGTAAAAAAACCATGATATTAAAGTGTTAAATAAACTTGGAACATATACAAATTAAAAGAAATTCAATTATTCCCTATCAATATAGCTTATTGTTCAATAAAGATTATAAAGTTAATAATCTAAATCATATCAATTTATTTATGTAAAACAATGTGTTTTGATTTTTGTGCTTATGGAAGAATTCAGACAAGTAGACCTGATGACTGAGGGTTCCTATTATTCTGTGTAGCAGTTGGAATAACAGTAGTACTATAAAAGAGCCAAAAGGACCTAACAAAGATTATGCAAAATGCTGTACAAACACATGGTAATGCAAAAATCAATAATAATCATACTAAAACACAATCCTTGACCCAAAGTACAGAAAGGTAGTAATATTATCCACATTTTGCATGTGCAGAATTAGACAACAAAAGCTGAGATTTTCATGGGAGCATAAGGGAGTCAGACAATCAGTTTCCACTGGCATTTAATGGAGGGATGCTTTATTTAGTTGCCTAAAGCTCCTTTGAATATTCTACCCAGAGTGATAAGGACAAAGTTACATTGCAGTTATTGCTGTGGCTGCAGCTCATGCAGATACACCTGAGCTGAGTTTTTCAGTAGTTAGTTTCCATTTTGGTAAGTAGTATGGAGCTACGCTTAGACTAAGGGATGGAGTATTTAGGCCTGGTTTATCCCCCACAGCTTTGCCGACAAAACTCACAGTTCCCCTGTGGTGGCAGAACCCTTCTTTTCTGCTAGCAGCAAAACACCAGTCTCTTGACTACAGGCAGGCTTCTATCATTGCCACAGCTGACAGAAGGTATATGTTGACATGCCAGTGCCTCCCGTCATCTACTGGAATAACTCAGTCTACTACTGATGGATATTTTGGTAGCCACAAGGAATCACTCAAAACCATGTAAGTACATACACTTTCTGGTGTATTGATTGATATAAACTGAGCTGGTTAACTTAAAGCTTGCTTGGATAGCCTCACATCAGTATAGTGATTGCAGTGTCAACTTACCCTGACTGCATCAAGTCACAAAGGAAGTCCATGGCAATACTGGGAACAAAACCCAACCCCCCTGCGTCCTAACCCAGAACCTTAAAATGCTCCAGATTCTGCTTCATTAAACACTTTTATCAACAGAACAGTGAAACTATTCAGTCTGCCCATTGGTACATTATCATCTTAAGAGTCTTTTAAAATTCCTCTTTTAATCTCTCAGATGCATTTTGACAACTAAATTGGGTGAATAGTGACTTTGATTACTTTATTTTTCTTGCTCTCACGCACCACATACAATCACAAAAGAGTATGCTAAATTTGTCAATGTGAAACTGAAGCTTCCTACACAATTTTTCTTCAGCAATTATAAATGCAAGGAAATAATTGTACCCATTTACTCTGCATCCTTTCTTTTGTACAGTGCAGATATAAGTCCACCCTCTGCTTCAGTGCAAAAAGATACTCCAAAAATCTAGTTATGTGCACAGTTGTGTATGCAGGCAGATGTGCATTCATTTTGCTGTTTGTATATAGGGCCAGTCTATGGTATGTAAAGATTCCAAAATACAGCTAGATAGCTAAATTACTTTATTTTACAATATTAATTCATAATCAAAAGTATACATAAGAACTTTAGATATTGCATTTCTGTACAAAGGCACTATCAGATTATCATAAGACAACATTTTATGACTATTTTCAGGAGTGAAAATTAATTCATTGGCACAAACAAACTCATAGGTCATGCCACTGAGATCTAATAAATTTTACATTACACTTTGCATGTGGAAATCCCAACTCCCAAGATGAAGAGATGAACAGTGTTAAAGAATATTAACAAAAGTACTGCTTGCTGAATCATTACAATGCAATAACTCATTTTACAGTGCTTCCTTTAAATCTAGGTCATTCATTTCCACCTTCTACCCAGGGCAGAGGTACTGCCTTCCTGCCCTACCAATACTACTTTTGGTCAGTAAGGAAGCAGACCCTTATTTAGTACCTAGGGTCTTTCAGCAAAAACACACAGGACATCTGAAGCCATGTGCCACAAACGCTACCAAATCTTGGAGGCTCGTGGGATGGCATGATTTTTTTCTTGCACTTCATATACGAATATGGTATGTGTGGTCTTATTGGAAAGCCAATGTTATGCTTTATCAATTTATATTGCTTGTATCATTGTATAGAATATGGTATGCTGTCTGTATATATTTTTATGATTTTGAACATGGCTTAGCCAAAGGAAATGAGGAATGGATACTTAAGGAAAAGAAAGTAGGCGCGACTACCAAATATAACCTTGCCATTGTGTGCTGGGGCAAGGACAACTGCCATTCCCAATCACAAACAAGGTGGGCAGCTGTGTCTGAGTGAAATGGCCCATTAGCCAGAAGAATGCCAGCTGTCTATGGCAGGAAAGACATTTCTGGAGGATTTTAGGACTCATGTAATAGCCGGGGCTGGCTTTCAGGCATTTTTAGCACTATCTTTGAAGTGGCCAGGGTCTTTGGATTATCCCGGGTTGAGGGGAAGGTCTGGGTCCCCAGCAGTCAGGCCTGGAAGGATCAGCAGGGAGGGTGACCTCTGAAAATAAGCAGGAAGGCTGACCTCTGAAAATATTGGCAAATCTCTCTGAAGGACTATTGGATGGTCAGATGAAAGGGTAAGAAACTTTGCTTGCTTTCTTGTTCTGTCCTCAAATTTATGGTCAGTTCTACTTGTATAATTCTTTTCTCCTATATAATATATCCTTTTGTTTTTTTGTCTCCTGACTGATTGCCTGTGGTAAAGAGTGATCTCTGGGCAAGCAATATTCCAGGCTAACCACTCTATGAAAAAAGGGAACTAAAATGTCTTTCACACCCAAAAAAGAATCCACCTAGAGCTGGACGATCCCCCTGATGCAGCTGTGAGGTCTGGTGAGAGCTGAAACTTAGGGGGATAAGGATTTATCCCAGGGAAAACCTTGGTCTGCTCCTTGGGACCAGCAGTGAGACCGAAGAGAAAAACTCAAGACAGGTTGGATGGGCTAGTGACACCACATTTGTCTTATTGAATAGACCCTTTGCCCTTGGCTAACATAGGACACATGAATAATTACATGTGTTAGATTTCATTAATGTATATCAACTATGGACTCATGTAGATACCATGTGCTGTGTCCTGTGTTGTCGTACAACTCCATATTTCTTAACATTTTCTAATCAAGTTTTAAATCCTTTCTTATCAGTACAAGAATAATGCCAGCAACTTAGGTACAACATGGGTTAACAGGTTTTATTATCTAATATGGCAATAATCTAAAAATGTTCCACGTTTGTTAAGTACTTCAGGACATATCTAAGTTTAAGGTAGTACCATTTTACCATAAGCTTAAGTACCTTGCTGTATTCAGACTCTTGATAAAGTTAAAAATCTTTATCAGTTGTATGATAAAATACTTCCTTCTTACAGCTACATAAATAACTCAGCACTTTGCCTTTTATTTGCATGGCAGTCTGTGGCAGTGCACCTTTGTTGCCTGCCACTTTAAGGGCTGGAGCAGGCAGCGGGCAGGTGTGTGATTAAGGCGGCCATTTTTTTAAACAAAGGTCAGTCAGGCAGAGACAGCAGTTGGCCGCTTGTAGCTGAGACAGTGGCACCATCCAGCTGCCTTGCGGTGTGGAATATCCTGGAGGTAAGGGCAGGAGCTATGGGGATGGTTTGGAGGCTCCTGGGCCTGGGCATGACCTAAAACTGCACCCTGCTGGGGAAGGAAGGCCTGGTGGGACTCCCAGTGGTGCAGCAGCCCCACTCAAATACCAGGGCCACTCACCTCCCTGGTGAAAGGTGGGTCAGGGTGCCTTAATAACCCCAGTCCCCACAATTGTGTGGGTAAAAGGGCTAGGCATGGCTGTGGCCACCTGAACTCGTAGGGGGTGAAAGACCTTGGAGGCCCTAGGGAGGGGATAGTTGTATAGCCCCAGAGAGGGGGAAGTCAGAGAGCCCTAGAGTGCGGGCAGTAGTGAAGGCCCTGACAGCGGTTGAGTAGGGCTGAGGGCTGGTCTGAAGGGCAGCCCCAGGGGGTGCACTGAGAGTAGGGCTGTGGGATGGCAAGAAGGGCAGCACATTGGCCAACCCCCATAAGATCAAGTTGTTGTATATGAGAAGTCTGTTGAGGGGCTAGGGCAGAGTTAGTCCTCCATTTGGTGAATCAGCTGGCCACTACCCAGGTGAGGGTCACAAGAGAGGCCCAAGAGACTGCGTGTAACCAGCCAAGGCATGACTCAGATAAGAAAAATTATCAAGGCTCACATTTGCGAGAGCCCAGCACGAAAAATTATGCTGAGGGGAAACCAGCACAGGTTCGTAGCAGGTAGATCATGCCTGACTAATCTAGTCTCTTTTTATGACCAGGTTACAAAACACCTGGATGCAGGAGTAGGGGTTGACGTCATTTACTTAGACTTCAGGAAGGCCTTCGATACGGTATCCCACACCATACTAGTGAACAAGTTAAGAGGCTGTGACTTGGATGACTACACAGTCCGGTGGGTGGCGAATTGGCTAGAGGGTCGTACCCAGAGAGTCGTAGTGGATGGGTCGGTATCGACCTGGAAGGGTGTGGGAAGTGGGGTCCCGCAGGGCTCGGTCCTTGGACCAATACTCTTCAATGTCTTCATCAGCGACTTGGACGAGGGAGTGAAGTGTACTCTGTCCAAGTTTGCGGATGACACAAAACTGTGGGGAGAAGTGGACACACCGGAGGGCAGGGAACAACTACAAGCAGACCTGGACAGGTTGGACATATGGGCAGAAAACAACAGA